TTTTTCAAACATTTTATTTTTTATTTTTATTTTTAAGTTTATTTTTAAAGCAGTTTATTTAGTGGAACCAGGGATTGAACTCCAGCCCTTTCACTTGGCAGGGAAGCGCTTATTCCATGGAACCATCTCCCTAGCCCCAAACATTTTATTTGTAAATGACACATAGTAATGTACATGTTTGGTTCAGTGTGACATTTCACTATATTTACAAAATGTAGCAATCAGATCAGTTTAATTGGCAGATATGTCACTTCAGACACTTCATTTCTTTGTGTGGAACATTCAAACTTTCGATACATCTCTAGCTCTTGTTTTTAGACATTCTCACTAAATTGTCAAATTGTTCAGATTGGATTTTAATTTGTAATCCTGCTTCAGCCTCCCAGAGTGCTGGGATTATAGGTGTGTGGTACCACTCCAGGCTCAATTAATGGTTGCTTTTTGGGTTTTTTTTTTTTATATAGAACCTGGTATTGAACTCAGACCCTTGTGCTTGCCAGGGACGTCCTTATTCTACTGAGCCATCTCCCCGGCCCAATTAATGGTTTTAAACCAGTGTTTTGTTTCTTTGAGACAAGGCCTCACTATATAGTTTAAGATAGCCCCCCAGATGCTGGGATCACAGGGATGCAACACCATACCAGGTTAATTTGTATTAGTCCATGTTGCCATACGTACTGTTTATACTCACTTTGGGGAGTTAAGCATGAACAGAACACATTCCTTTGCTCTGTCTCCTATGCTTGTTCCTCCATTTACTGTCTCCTTCCCATTTGCAAAAGATCTGTTTCCTTGTTTCCTATTACCTGTATGTTGCTCTTTAAATTATTTATGCTTGGGGTTTCTCATATAAGAGAAACCACGTATTTGGGCTTCTGTGTCTGGTTTCTTTCACTTAGTATTATTGTCTCAACGTGCTTTTATTTTCCTACAAATGATTCAGGTTAAACCATAGTTCTACTGTGCTATAGAACAGCAGAAATTATTCCTCTTAGCTAACTGTACACAAGTGCAAACTTTTTTTTTTTTAACTCAGGACCCTGTGCTTGCCAGGGAAGGACTTATTCTACTGAGCTATCTCCCTGGGCCTAAACTTTTAACTTTTACATATTTTAGAATGTTTAATGATATGGAAAAGTGTATTACTGGAAAGAATCATTAAATATTTCCATTTAAAAAATTTTTAAAATCTTGTATTTATTCGTCTGCTACGGGGTCTTGCTGCGCATCCTCCCCAGCCCTGGAATTGCAGGAGTGAACCACTATGCCCGGTTTCGGGGGCCGGCACTTTTGGCATGCGGTACTTGCCCTACTTACATGATTTTAAAATTGAGGTATTTAGGGCTGGGAGATAGTTTGTTGGTCTAAGCACCTGCCTGGCAAGCACGAGAACCCCAGCTCAATCCCTGGTACCACATGCCGTGCTGGCCCCAGAAGCCTGGTCGTGCTGTGGTAACCACCGAAACCAGGCATGGTGGCACACGCCTGTAATCCCGGCACTGGGCAGGCTGAAACAGGAGGGTCACTACAGTCCAAACTGCATGGCGAGACCCTGTACCACATAAGTAAATAAATAATTTTTAAGGAATTAAAATCAAGTCATGTGAGTGTTGGTATAGAGTGCATATATGTAACAAGCCCTGCACAAAGAGAAGAGAATGTATGTTTGCAAGGAAAGGAACGGTGTATATAGCAGAAGGTTAGCAGTGGGTGGCTAAGGGAGACATTGTCTTTCTTTCTTTCTTTTTTGTTTTTAAGTGCAGGGTCTACAGGGTCTTACTACACAGATCAGACTTGTTCTTCTCTGGTTTTCAGCACTGGGATTACAGGTGCACGCCACCATGCCCAGAAGGGAGACCTTTTTATCTTTGTGCATTTCTTCATTTTTCAACAGTAGTGAGCTACAAATCAAACCTAGGATGGACGAGGGCAGTATCACCGAGCTATTCCTTCAGCCTTAGAGTGTGTTTTTGAAAGTTATTTAGAAGCTGGTAATCATGGTGCACACCTATAATTCCAGCCCTTGGGAGAAGGATCAAGAGTTGGAGGCCAGCCTGGGTTACATAGTGAGTTCAAGGCTGGCTTGAACTGCATAGTGAGACACTGTTTCAAAAAGAGAAAAGGAGAAAGTTAGATTTAAAATCCCCTAATATATGGGACCGGGGAGATGGCTCAGTAGGATAAGCGCTTGACTGGCAAACGCAAGGATCTAAGTTCAATCCCTGGTTCCGCAAAAAAATAAAATCCCCTAATACATTCTTAGACCTCAAAAAAAACCTGTTTTGTTTCTTCTATAAACTGTGCTTAGAGAGAATGAACTCAAGCCACTCATAGTACAAACCTGATTCTTTTATATGCTGAAAGATTAATTCCTCCAAGTTTTTCAGTGATTTTCTCCCAATAGTTAATGTAACCCTTTTTTCTTTTCTTATGAAAACTGATCTTTTCTTTTCATTATCCCCTAGAAGTAGTAGCATCTACCTTCAGCAAAATGCAGGTAGTAAAACATTTACCACTTGTACGTGTACAGTTCTGTAACACTAAGTACATTCATTTTCTGTAACCCTCATCACTATACATCTTTGGAACATTTTCATCTTTCAAAATACTAAACTTTGACTCCGTGTTCTTGCCTTTCCCTAATCCCTGGTAACTTCTGTTCTTTTTTCATTTGACTACTCTAAGAATGACATAGAAGAGGAATCATATAATGTGTGTCTGTAATTGTTATTTTAATGTCTTAAAATAGCACTTGGGAGATGATTCATGCGGAATGTGGTGGTGCATTCCTAGAATCCTAGCATTCTGGAGAAGAGCAGGAGGGTTGTGAGTTCAAGGCCAACATGAACTACATAGCAATACCCTGTCTTAAAAAATTCAAAAACAGGGTAAGGGAGATAGCTCAGTAGAATAAGCGCTCGCCGGCAAACACAGGGTCCTAAGTTCAATCCCTGGTACCACAAAATTCAAAAACAAAATTTATTTATGTTAGAACATGTGTTAAAATTTCCATTGGGGGGCTGGAGAGATGGCTCAGTGGTCTAAAGCACCTACTTAGAACAAGCTTGGCAAAGCATCAGGGACCGCGGTTCAATCCCCCAGCACCACATGCCA